TATTACCATTACTAAATAAATAAACACATTCATATATGCACAGTGAAGCTATCATGATCCGGGTGAGTGGCTGGAAACTTCTACCAGGGTCTTGAGTCTCCTTGGTATCTGGCCCTGGGCAGGGCCGTCATATCTCCAACAGCTTCACTCACCTGGAGCTGAGTTGAGGCAATCAGGCTAAAGAGATTTAAGCCTTACACTGATATTCCCTCTCCAACAGTTTGTCAACTACTCCATGTTGGTAGCCGGCTCTAATGCTCCATGTTATTTGCCAAGTGCTTTTCTTACCTTGTTCTCTTGTGCCCTAGCTTTTCCTGGAACCTCCAAAACCCTTACCCCCAAATTAAGCTAATCTCTTGAACCTCGGATAACCCAGCTCTTCTCTGGAAATCTCTCCTTGCCTCACCTGCCTGCCCTCCTGCCATCACACTCCTTCGGAACCTACGGAACTCAGGTCAGCCATCTCACACCGTCTAACTCACGCCCCCTCTCCCTCCAAGCATCTTTCACTCCAACTGCAAGTAAGCAAGAAATATAGCCATGCTCACCTTTTCTAGTACTCCCCTTTTACCACAGTTCTAACTCCACTCTCCTCGCTCCTCAGTGTGATCACTCTATGTACCAAGCCATGCTACAGTTACCCCTTCAAGCCCAATTTCCCCCACTTGGCCCCATGACCACGTTATCACGCTACGCAGAGCCGCTGTTACATTCTACAGTCTATTCCTCTTTTGGCAAATCTCTCAAGCTCCTCCAGATTTTATTGGCTTCTAGCATGGACCTTGGTTCACTTCACACTGCAAATTTTTGTTTGTTCTCGTGATTGTCCTTTTTGAGACTACAATTCTAGATTCTAGTGTCTTGGCAGTAGTACTGGGGTCTTTAGACACATCTATCACTAGTTTTCTTTCTAGAGTGTTTGAAATCTTTTGCTTCCTACCCTGCCAAGCTTGTTCTGTACTGTGTGACTGTCTTGGCTGAATTTCTTAACATTGCATATTGAAACTTGGAAATGCTGTGATAACTTTGTATATCTATTTCTTGCTTAGAGATCTTCAACATTTCTTATTCTATAAAATTATAAAAGGATTTCTTCTGTTTTTGGGGTGATGCGTTCTCAAGTGACAGCTCAAACATTGCACAGCAGTGGCTTCTACTATCAATAAAAAGGTCAATTTTTCAGGGGGCTGATAATGTTGATCTTGAAAATTATTATTTATTATAAATTATTATGTTAGTGTGTGATAATAGAAACAATTCATGTTTTCTCAAGAAGATTTGTGCGATTACAAAAAAATATGTCGTAAAGCTGAGGCTTTATGCTCTCTGAAATGTATTCAATTATCTGAATGAATGTAAATGAGAGTATTTCTGAAACTCCACTTAAGCTAATTAAGATCCCCATTAGCTACAGGAATACAGCAGATATTCCACCTGTGATCTACAAATTTACTCTCCTCTCTGAGAATACACAGCTTATAGAGACATAAACTTTCCTTCAGTATGAAACATCTTTCTGCTGTCTGTGCGCACTAGAGCAACTCACCTTTGGTTGCTGTTTTAAGAAATTCATTGCTTCTTCAAAGTGGTCCAGATGTGTCTCTGTGATATTGTCACCCTTCTTATTGTACACCGCCACTGAGAGAACCACAAAGCCTTTGTTAGCCAGTAGACTGGGTCTTGCCTCAGATACTGAGGTGGGCAAATCCAACACAGCAGGAAAAGGACCTTTTCCTGGAAGAAAGAAAAAAGATTCTAATCAGCAGCAAGTCATATTTTAAATTTTATTCTTAATTTCTCTGGAAGCCAGTGAAGGGACGCAAGAATAGGTGTAATATGTGACAGTCAGCTATTTTTTGTTAGCAGTCTTTCAAACAAAGGTCTTGCTGCATTCTGTACTAACTGGACATGAGTTGTGGAGGACTGAGAAACGCACCTGAAATGTGAACTACAGTAAGCAAGGTGGGAGAAAATTACAATTTGAACTAGAAGTTTCAGATGACTGAATGACAGTTAAAGTTTAATTTCAACAATGTTGATTTAAAAGCTGGTTAATGTTAAATGAACTAAAATGAACATAGAAACCTAGGAACCACCTCCAGTACCTGGAGGAGTGAAAAGGACTCCACGGATGTTCCCTTCATTGACGGGGACCCTGGTGACCCCATCTCTCATCAGAAGCCTCTCATTCATCATCTCTGCCAGTAATCTGCCCTCCTCCTCATGCACAGAAAACTTCACCACCTGGGGGTTTATGGCATTTGTCTTTAGATATATTTTGTGCATGGTATGTGGCCTCATGGAACACAGCAGACCCATGGGTTCTACTCCAACGTTGCTCCCACCTAGCGAGGGGTCTCTCTTCAGGTCGACCTCCCCACTGCCGTCAGCCCTGTAGGTGGCTGAGGAGTTGAACACCACTCCCTTGTCATCAGTTAATTTGGCTCTCATGTTGACAACCTGCCTTGGCCTCAGCCCGGCCACCTTCACCTGAATGGGCTCATCAAACATACATTTGATGCTTGGCAGCAGCTTCAGTCTCACTTGAGAGGACATCTTTTCTGAAAAAGAGAAAAAGATTGGACTTTATGAATGTAAGATAAAAAGTCCCCTTACACAATACTTTTTGTAAGAAATTTCAGAGACAGATCGATCCATATTACATTACATTATGTTTATTAATTACACCAACAACCCACTGTCCCAGTTTGGTCTCTGAGTGCAGGAAACCCAAATCCAAACTCCACTCAAGAAATGTGCCAGTTTAAATATGTATCATTAGCAAGCAACCACATTACAAGTGCCCACTGTACTCTCTGTCAATAATGTTAATACTAGATCCATTTCAGACAGTGGCAGTAATATTTTACACTGGGCAGCAAATCAGCACAGCATGATCTTCCAGAGCGAGACAGAAACTCTGACTATTTTTTGTTAATATTTAACAGCTCTTGCACAGCCACTGTTAGTGTGATACCTTTGCACCAGATACCCTCCCATGCACCCATCAGTAATGACTTCTTTCTAGTTAAGTAAATGGTTTGCATGGATTTCCATTAAAGGTTTTTTTTATGTTCAGTACAATTATTCAGTCACTCGTTGAACTTCAGGCAGTTTTGATTCCCGTTTTCATGATCACACAGCCACTTCAAAAGGTAAACACCAACTTCAAAGTGATATTTCTCTTCCATTGTTTACAATTAAACTTTTAAAAACAAAAAATTTGAATAGATGTTGATTAGGACAAAAGGTCCCAAATCCATGCCATCAATGCATAGTCACAATTAATTAAAAGTTAATAAGACTTGCAAGGTGGTAACACAAGCTGACTGGAAATAACAGAGGCACAAAGAGTCCAGGATAATCAGGAAAAAGTGATCCAGTCATACAGTCCTGCCTGTCAGGATGATGTGTTCACAGAATTTGATATATCGTTAGCTTCATAGCATAAGTGCCTAAGTCATTTTTTTGTGATGACATAGGCAGACGGACAGGATGATGCAGCAGTGGTAGGGGAGTAAAGTTAGGCAAAAATCTCAATTTGACCAAAAAATGACTTAGGCACTTATGCTATGAAGCTAACGATATATTCTGTCATGCAATCAGTTAAACCAGGGATAGGCAACTCCAGGCCTCGAGTGCCAGTGTCCTGCAGGGTTTAGATCTCACCCTGGGTCTTGCACCTGAATCAAATGATTAGTTCATTACCAGTCTTCTGGAGAATGTCAAGACACGTTTAGGAGATAATTTAGCAATTTGAATGAGCTAAAACCTGCAGGACACCGGCACTTGAGGCCTGTAGTTGCCTACCCCTGGGTTAAACTGTTATTGATTTCTCAATGTTGTTCACAAATTACATTCTCTATACCCTCAAAGCAGTCCTGCAGCTTTGAGGGTATTCACAAGACTGCCTTGTGAATATGGGTCTTTTAACAAGAGGAATATATCTCCATGTTGGGTGAGTGTTGAGTAATTACATATGAGAGCATGAGGGTGGGAATGGATGTTTGTATCTGGTCGGGTATCAG